TGCCCCTCTACCTTGGCCTCCTCGTGCACGTTCCAGACGAAGGACAGCGCGTTGTACGCCAGCTCCTCGATGTTCTGCACCGTGTTGAAGTTCTCCTTGCAGTCGGCTGGAACCACAGGAGGATCAGCTCACCCCGGGGACATTCCCAGCCCCAAATCCCACCCTGGGGTGCCCATGGGTGCCCTGCAGCCCCCCAGCCCTCGTACCCACGTCGATGACCCTCTGCTTGGCCGTGGGCTGCCGCGAGTGCCAGTGCTTCCAGAACTTGAGCTGCTCCGTGGGGATCTTCTCGTTGTCGAACACGATCATCACCACGCTCTGCACGGGGACAGGAGAGCTCAGCTCAGCAAGGCCGGGCTTTACCAAACCCTTCCCTGCTGCTCTGACACGGGAAACGCGGGATTTAGGGCTGGGTGTGCTGAGGAGGGAGAGGGAGGGATTTGGGTGAGATTATTTGGGACATTCAGCCCATGGGGGGATCTGAAGGATGGCCAAACATCCCAGGAGCAGAGTGGGGACCCTGTCCTGGGTGAGAGCTCCTCCAGAAAAGCCCAGGAGCAGCTTCAGGACCCTGTTCTGGGTCAAAGCTCCTCCAGCAGAGCCCCAACACATCCCAGGAGCAGGATGGGACCCTGTCCCTGCCCCAGCAGAGCCCCCAGCCCTCTCTCTGTGTGTCCCTGAGCTCTCTGTGTGTCCCCAGTCCCTGTGTGTCCCCATCTCCTGTGTGTCCCCATCTCTCTGTGTCCCCATCTCCTGTGTGTCCCTGTGCTCTCTGTGTGTCCCCATCTCCTGTGTGTCCCCATCTCCTGTGTGTCCCTGAGCTCTCTGTGTGTCCCCATCTCTCTGTGTGTCCCCATCTCCTGTGTGTCCCCATCTCTCTGTGTGTCCCTGTGCTCTCTGTGTGTCCCTGTGCTCTCTGTGTGTCCCCATCTCTCTGTGTGTCCCCATCTCTCTGTGTGTCCCCATCTCTCTGTGTGTCCCCAATCCCTGTGCGTCCCCATCTCCTCCAGTGCAGCACAGGCTGATCTCCCAGGGCTGAACCCCTCCCATTCATCCCTTTAAACCAACAAAAGGCACAAAACCTCTGCTGCTCATGTTCAGCTCTGCTCCCAGACCTGAGGAGCTGCCAATTCCCCATCCCCATGCTCTGACAGCAGAGCTGTCACCTCCTCCCCTTACCTTCACTTTATTTGAGGACAAGTGCAAACATTTGCTGTCTCCAGCTGTCCGCAGCGTGATGGGGTAGAACTGTCCTTTGTTGAGGTAGGCCATGGGAGAGTCCCCGGATTTGATGTGGATGGCTTTGGGTGACCCCAGGGTGTATTCAAAATCGCTGGGACGGAACAGAGACGGGAGGGTGAAGGAGCAGCCGTGGTTATTTGAGCACAGACGGAGCCTCCACCCTCGGGGCGCTGCTCACACGGCAATTTCTGCCTCACACACCCCAAAAGCTCAGCACAGCCCCCCTGATCTGATCCTCCCCAGCACCCGGGGAGCTCTCACACAGCAATTTCTGCTCCATTCCCCACCTCACACACCCCAAAAGCTCAGCACAGCCCCCCTGATCCTCCCCAGAACCACGGGGAGCTGCTCACACGGCAATTTCTGCCTCACACACCCCAAAAGCTCAGCACAGCCCCCCTGATCCTCTCCAGAGCCACGGGGAGCTGCTCCCATGGCAATTTCTGCCTCACACACCCCAAAAGCTCAGCACAGCCCCGCTGATCCTCCCCAGAACCACGGGGAGCTGCTCTGCTCTGCTCTGCTCCAGCAGCCCCATTTCACCCCTGGTTTGGCTCTGACATCTCTGGAGTTGCTGTTTCTGCGGGGATGGCGACAGAAGCGCCGCTCAAACCAAACTGACAAACCCAGAGCTGTCCCGAGACTTTTACAGCGCCCGAAATTTGGCTCCCTGCCTCCAAATTCACACCTAAAAAAGGGTGAGCCAGGAAGATTCTCCCTTGATGGTTCTGTACAAAAAGGACCTGCAGGAGAGTGACACCTCCTCGGTGACACAAACTCAGCTTTTGGAACTCTCAGCGTGTTCAGAACTGAGTTTAGAGCTCAGTTCAGAGCTGAGTTTAGAGCTCAGTTCAGAGCTGAGTTTACAGCTCAGTTCAGAGCTGAGAGTTTAGAGCTCAGTTCAGAGCT